GCCTTGCTGGCTGAGGTCTGGCATTGGCGGCTCATGTTCATCTTGGAGTCAATAATGACTCCAAGATCCCTTTCCGCCTCTGTGCTTTCAAGAATGGAACTCCCCAGCCTATATTTATGTTGTGGATTCCTTCTCCCAAGGTGCAGCACCCTGCATTTGTCTACGTTGAACCCCATCCTATTCTCATCTGCCCACTTTTGTAGTCTGTTTAAATCTAGTTGCAGCCTCTCTCTCCCTTCAAGTGTGTCCACCTCGCCCCACATCTTAGTGTCATCAGCAAACTTGGACAGCGTGCTTTCCACCCCATTGTCCAGGTTGTTGATGAAGATGTTAAACAGTGCGGGCCCGAGGACCAAGCCCTGGGGTACCCCACTGCTCACATCTCGCCAGGTTGAATACAACCTGTCCACAACGACTCTCTGGGTGCGCCCCATCAGCCAATCTTTTACCCATCCAACTGTGCAGGCATCAATGCCGCAGTCGCTTAATTTATTGATGAGGATGGGGTGAGAGACAGTGTCAAAGGCCTTCTTAAAGTCTAGAAAAACTACGTCCATGGCGACACCATCATCCAAGAATTTAGTTACGTGGTCATAAAAGGCAATCAGGTTGGTCTGGCAGGACCTGCCTTTGGTGAACCCATGCTGATTGCCCCTGAGCATGATCTCCCCTGCAGGCCCCCCACAGATGTGCTCCTTGATGATTCTCTCCAAGATCTTCCCGAGCACCTAGGTGAGGCTTGCAGGCCTATAATTACTTGGGTCCTCCTTCCTCCCCTTCTTGAAAATAGGAACCACATTAGCCAGTTTCCAGTCCCCCGGCACCTGGCCAGATGACCACGAATGCTCATACAGCCGGACCAAGGGCTCCGCGATGACCCCTGCCAGCTCCTTCAACACCCTTGGGTGTAGGGCATCTGGACCTGCAGATTTAAAAATATCTAGCCCTTCCAGAAGATCCCTAACTGCATCTGCGCTGAATGAAGGCTTGATAGAGCTATGCCCAAGATTGTCCCTACCTCTGGTAGGTGGGATGTCCCGGACCCTGTTCAGGAAAACAGAGGCAAAGAAACTGTTAAAAATATCAGCTTTCTTGTCTGGTGTGGCCACAAGATTACCATTTGCGTCTTGCAGGGGCCCTACATTGCCTGGTGCCCTCTTCTTGTTCCTAATGTACTTGAAAAAGGACTTTTTGTTGTCCTTAATCCTGGACGCTAGCTGAGTTCCATCTCTGCCTTGGCCTTCCTAATATCCCTCCTACACTCCCGGGCTGAGGAGGAATAGTCCTCCTTGGTGATAGCTCCTCCCATCCACAGTGTTTAACTTCAGATTGAATGTGTGTCAAAGATAGGAAGAAAGTTGAGTTCCAGGCACATTCCTGTTTCTTAGCAGTTGGTTTAGGCATTTCCCAGTGCAGGGGATTCTGAGACATCTAACTCCCTTTCTCTTTAAAATATAGGGGGATTAGGGGCCTAACATGGGTTTGTGAATTCTACCTTCAGAGCTAGATATCTGACTTCTGAGCACTTCTGACTTAGAAGTGCTCAGTGTTACCACATAAGTCTTTTTGTGAAGACTTGCCATTTTTGCTCCTTAAAAACTTTCCTCCCATCTGCTGAACTGTCCTGGAAGCCCTAATTGTATGGGGATCCAGGGCTAAGCAATGGCAGGAGCCCTTTTGGCATTGGAACTGTCTCCTTTTTCCTTTGTTGTCGTGAGGCAGCAAAGGAACTTGGGAAAAGGAGGCTTTGTTAGTCTGGGTACAAAAGTGGATCAGAATCTACAGGAACATATCATCTACTTCTTGTTGAAACTGCAGGGAGAATATAGGTATGAATACCACGTACCCAAACAGGAATTCTGTCTGACACCTGGAAACAGTGAATAGGTAATTGGTAATTTACCTATAAAAATAAGAATAATGAATGGAGCAAACACAAAGGTTAGGGAATTAGGAGGAAGTCATTCCTGACCGTCTTGGACAATAATGTTAATTAGCTGGTGAGACAAATGAGAACATTTTTAAAACAAAGCACATCAGCACAGCCAGGTTTGGGGACATCACCTTTATTTTGTGCATGTTTTTCAGAAAAAAATATTAGTTCTTCCTCCTGTGTGAATAATGAAACAAAATCAGTATTTTTGCTTCCAGTAACCAAAAAAATTAAACTCTTGACATTTGTATTAGCACCATTTTGACCTTAACTGTCACCAGGTAGACTGAATGAAGACAAGCCATTGTAGCCTCCTCTCCTATTCCTGGCCAGGATATGTTGATTTCCTGTGCTGGTTAGTGCTGCTTAATGTTGTGAGGCAATCTGGCCTTCATTTGCTTTACATGGGTTCTAAGTATCTAATGGTTCCTGTAGCCCATCTCCAAAAAAGATTTAAAAACCTGAATTCTCAAACATATGTATAACAGTAGCAACTAATGGTCACAATTATGTGGCATCCCGTGATTTAAGGCACTTAGTAAATAATACACAATGGTACAAAAACTTAAAGGTTGTAAAGTTTCATACCAGCTTAATTCAGCCCCCTTGTGTGAATGCCATATGATGCATTACATAACTGCATACCTAGCTGCATGCTGTTTTTTCACAAGACTGCAATCGGTGTACAGAACGGACACTAAGTGATAGCTACTCAATGTTTCTTTTTATCTTTATTCGGTATATGGCTCCAGATCCTATTACTGCATATCCAGAAACAGAATAATTTATTCAAATGTTTTCCATGGTGATGTTTCTTAGTTCTTTTACAAACATTTGAAGACTTGATTTTTCATAAAAATTAGGTGATATTGTTATCTCCATTTTGCACATTAAAATTAAAGTCTTATTGGCAAACATCAGCTAATTTCCAGTGCCTGGTTGGAGAGCACTACAGCCTGTTTTACTTTTTGTAGAAAACACACAAAGTTGTATGAGCAGAGCTTGCACTGATAATAGTTGTATCCGTGAATGCTTAATATTTCTGCAAATCAGATCCTGGGTGTTTCTAATTTATATACCCAGAAAGTGAGGAACACTCAGTGGCCAACTATGAAAATGTTGATTTGTCTAAGCTGACCAGCATCACCTAGGCAACCTTAATTCGGGTGTTTCCTAAATTTTGATTTGGCAACCTACTACTCCCTTAGAAAGTCACATTTAAAAAAAAACAAACCCAAACCCTGCATTATGCTTATGTAAAAAGAAGCCAAAAACCCCCAACCCCAAAATAAAGACAAAAAAACCTTTATACATGGAAAAGAGGAATTTCATCTTGTTGGCTTCCTGAATGAGTTGCTAGCAGGCTTGTCATCTTCAAATGTACAGCTGAGGTGGCCAGCCTGCTGCATGTGTGCCACAAATAACAAGAGCAGCCTCTGTGTGGCACGTGGCAGATCAGGGTTGGAATGGCAGCACAGCGGCTCATAAGGCAGAAAGTAAAGCAGCAAATCAAGTAAGAAGTACAGGGAAGGAAGCAGAAAGCAGAGCAGCAGACCATGCAGGGAGCACGAACTTGGGAACAGGAAACGGAGCAGGCAAGAGCATGAGATCAGAGTAGCACTGACACAGGGTGCAGGTCTAAATGTGGCACACCTGCCATAAGGGTTCACCCCCACTGAGCTACAGCTTCTCTACTGTTTAAACTAAACTAATGGAGTAACTGGTCTACTGTTATGACCTGTCAGCAGCTGAAAGGGCTGAAAGCCAGCAGTGTAACAAAGCCATCAACAAAGCTGATCGCACCTTATCGTACATTAGCAGATGTATGACCAACAGATTGAGGGAGGTGATGCTCCCCCTCTATGCGGCATTGGTCAGGCCGCGGTTGGAGTACTGTGTCCAGTTCTGGGTGCCGCACTTCAAGAGGGATGTGGAGAATCTGGACAGGGTCCAGAGGAGGGCCACTTGTATGATTAGTGGCCTCCATGCAAAACCCTACGAGGGGAGGTTGAGGGATCTGGATCTCTTCAGCCTTCACAAGAGACGTCTGAGTGGGGAGACCTTGTAGCAGCCTATAAGTTTATCAAGGGAGGACAACAGAGAGTTGGAGATGCGCTATTTACCAGGGCATCCCTAGGAGTAACTAGGAATAATGGGTACAAACTAGTGGAGAGTAGATTCAGGTTAGACAGTAGGAATAAATTTTTCACAGTAAGGGTTGCCAGAATCTGGAACAAGGTGCCAAGAGAGGTGGTACTATCACCTAGCTTGGAGGTCTTCAAGAGGAGGCTAGATAGGCACCTGGATGGGGTTGTCTGACCTCAGTCCTTTTCCTGCCTGGGGTAGGGGGTCGGACACAATGATCCTTCGGGGTCCCTTCCGACTCTACAATCTATGATCTCTTAGAAGGGGAATGAAGACCAACTTTGTGGGTTTCTAAGTTGTTTGTTGGACAGTAAAACAATGCTTAGGTCCTTAAGAAGGATATGTTTTAATATTTATAAATGTTCCTGCACTGTCCATTTAACCTCTCTTGGCCCACTTTGGATCCTGGCCTCCCTCCTGCCTGGGCATCCTGAATCGGCCCCTGCCACCACTTCATCTATCACTGTTTGTTTGAATCAAATGCCTTCATTCCTCATGCTGCTTGAGGCAGCATGTACCAAAGCACAAGAGAGAGTTTTCCTTTCCTTAGTGGCACAGAATCCCCCAGCAGCTGGGAGAAGTGATTGCAAAGAAAGTCTCTGAAGCTTTAAACATAGAACATGCTCATCTCTTGTTTCTCTATGGGGTGGCATTTATTCAGTCTTCAGCAGAGAGGAGCTATGAGGGTGGATCTGGCTCAGTGATGATCAGATATTCGAAGAATTTAGCCGCAAATCTCTTTAACAAGTTTTTACGGAGCATGTACATAACTGAAATTGTTTAAAGGGTAGAACTTGGCCAAACTGGAATATGTTTTTTGCCATAGTCAGGGATGTATTTTTGCAGTTCTGACTGTACGCTCTCTTCCTTCTGCCATGCCACAGAATTTCAGATCGCTACTCAAAACTTTAGAGAGAAAGCTTTAGTGAAACAGTTGTAAGAATATTTTTAATATGGACCAAACAGCATGCATGTTCCCCTCCTCCCCCTCGATCTTGTTCTTAAATATGAATCAATTATTTTAGCTGAAACTTCTTCTGAAAAAATTATCACCTTTAGAAAAATGGTTTGTTTGGCACGGTTGAATTATAGCAGAGTTCATAATGGAAAGTGTTGGGCAGTCTTAACTAGATGTGTCAGTGTTTCCAATACCTATAATAAATTAGATGTTTCTAAAATGTTAAGTCCTGTTCTGTTACTGCTACATTAAGGATTTTAATTTTCCAAAAATACATTTGACCTAGATAAATACTGAAAAATGATTTTCTGTGTCTCAGCCATACTTTGCAGGTGTGGGCTTTTTTCATGGCTAAAGGCACTGTGTAGACCAAAGAAAGTTTTCTTTTGAAGTATAATGCCTTTCTCATTCTCAACTGAATTATTCCAGTATATGTCAAAACTTCCTTGAGAATTACTGACATCCTGCATGGAAGTGCAAGCATAGCCAAAGAGCAAGATATTTGGTGGGGGGTTTTAATTGGTTTGTTTTACTTCAAAAGAAACTAAATAGCTGTCTACTGAACAGCAAATGCCAAGAAAATTTGGCTTTGCTGTTGTTGAGTTCTAAATGAAAATATCTTCTCAGTAGAGAGAAATGACTGTTTTGTTCACTTTTAAAAACAATCACTGTTCCATATTTTTTCAGGGTTTCTTTTAATAAGTATAGGAGTGGGTCAGAAATATTTTAGCACTAATGATGAATCTCTCGTTGGGATGAATATTTTGACAAAATCTATAGTATGGAGGTAAGCTTTTCTACCTGCCAGGAAATGTTTGTATTCATAAAGAATGTTATGTATTATGTAGATATATCTGACATTAATCATAGTTGCTTACTTTTTTTACTTAATTTAAATCTTCAGTGGCTTTAACTAGCAGTACAGAATGTGAGGTTTCATGGCAAAAATGAGTAGTTATTGTATCCTAATTTTGAATTAACCCAAAAACTTAAATGTTTTATTTACAGATGTGTAGGTTGTAGCCTTGTTGGTCTAAGGACATAGGCAGACAAGGTTCTATGGGTGAATCTGATATCTTTTATTAGACCAACTTAAATAGTTGGAAATTTTTTTAGCAAGCTTTGGGGTTTTAAAAAACTTTGTCAGGCTGAGGAAGTGTCTGGAGTTGGTGTGTGCTCTTTCTGGATGGAATGAATAGCAAAGAAGCCAGAGGCTGGGCTGGTGTGCATGCAAGATATTATACTTAACATATATTTAACAAATATAAATGTTATATTTAACATTTAAGATTTAACATTCTATTTAACAATGTTATGTTTAACATTTGGAGAATGAAATAAAGACTGATTCCACAGGTTTGATGGGATACGTTTTAGTCATTTGCAACTGACTGCTATTTCTGCCAACCTTTTTTTTTTTCTTTAAGAAAAAAAAATCTTAATTCTTTAGTTGCCCCAAATGCTGAAGGGTTGAAATGAATAAAAACTGTTGTTTTACTGGCTCTAATTCTATCCTAACAATTTTTTTTTCTCTGCATTTTTAGCATATGATTACACTGAAAGAGCAGCTATCAAAACAACGCACAGAAACTGATAGTACCATCAACCAACTAAAACTTGGTATAGATATGGAAAGAAGGAAAGTGTCTGAATTGGAAGTTGAGAAGATGGAAATGATTAAGGAGCTTGGAGTTCAGAAAGAAAAATTGACTCAGTGTACATTTGCACTTAATGATTTGCATATGAGTAAGCAGGAGCTTGAGGATAACATTAAGGGCCTACATGAAAAGCTAAAGAAAGCCCAGGCTTGTAACTTAAATAAAAAAGAAATTGCAGAATTGCAGCAAAAACTAAAAGAAAAAGAGGAGGAACTTTCTGTATCCCAGAACAAGTTAACCAAAATAAATAATCAGGAATATAACATTAGCTGTCAAGAAAAAGAAGCAGAAATTGTAAAATTGAATCAAGACATTGCAGAAAATAAGCAATTAAATAAAATTTTGGAGAAATCTGTGTTTGATCTCCAAGCACAAAATGAAAATCTGTTTGCAGACTGTGAAGAACTAAAGCGGCAGTTGCATGAAGCCATTACGGAGAAGAATAAAATTTCCTTGGAAAAAGGTACTATGCTGGAGGCTTTGACAATGGAAAAAGGACAGTTGGAATCTGAATTGAATCAGACTGAAAAGAGGCTGTTGGAACAGGCGCATAAATATGAGCGAACCATTGAGGAATTAACAAATACACGTAGCTTGAACACCACAGCATTGCAGCTAGAACACGAGCATCTGATTAAAGTCAATCAAGAGAGAGATTTTGAAATAGCAGAACTCAAAAGAAACATTGAGCAGATGGAAGCTGACCATCAAGAAACTAAAGAGATGTTGACAACTAGTTTGGGAGGACAAAAGCAGTTGACAGAACTCATAAAAGAAAAAGAGGTGTTTGTTGAAAAATTTAAAAATCAAGCGATGCAGGTGCAGCGAGAACTTGAAGAATATATTAAGGCTTCCAAAAAGCATGAAACTGTAAGGCAGAATTTAGAGGAAAAGGACAGAAATCTTGCAGTGATGAAAGAAGAAAATAATCATCTGAAAGAAGAAATTGAAAGACTGAAGGACCAGCAAAGCAGATCTTCAGTTGTGGCTGAGCCGAAAACTTTAGATATTATTACTGAACTTGAAAGTGAGATAACACAGTTAAAACTAATAAAGAATAATCTTGAAGAGGAAATAAAGTTTCACAAAAAAACAATTGAAGACCAGCATCAGAAAACAGTGCAACTTCAACAGTCTTTGCAGGAGCATAGAAAGGAAATAGATGAATCTAAATTTCAGTGTGAGCAAATGAGTGTCACACATGAAAAACTTTTCTTGGAGAAAGATGAAGAAATTAAAAGTTTACAGAGAACAATTGAACAAATTAAAACTCAGTTGCACAATGAGAGGCAAGTCATTCAAACAGATTCCTCTGATCTCTTTCAGGAAACTAAAGTCCAGACTCTTAATGGAGAAAATGGAAATGAAAAACATGATTTATCTAAAGCTGAAATTGAAAGGTTGGTAAAAGGTATGAGAGAGAAAGAAATGGAGATTAAACATTTGAATGAAAAGAATGTCTCTCTGACTCGACAAATTGACCGGTTGTCCAAAGATGAAGTTGGTAAACTCACTCAGATCATTCAAGAGAGAGACTTGGAGATACAAGCTCTCAATGCAAGAGTTTCCTCTGCATCTTATAGGCAGGATGTACTATGCCTTCAACAGCAACTGCAAGCTTATGTCATGGAAAGAGAGCAAGTGCTAGCAGTTTTGAGTGAAAAGACTAGAGAGAACAGCCAGTTAAAAGCAGAGTATCATAAAATCATGGATATGGTGGCTGCTAAAGAAGCAGCTTTGATAAAGTTACAAGAAGAGAACAAAAAATTATCTAATAAGTTTGAAAACAGCAGCCAGGACATGTTTAGAGAAACTGTTCAGAATTTGTCTCGTATCATTCGAGAGAAAGATATTGAAATTGATGCCTTAAGTCAGAAATGCCAAACTTTATTGACTGTCCTACAGACATCGAGTGCAGGTACTGATAATGGGTCAGGAGGTGTTAACAGTAATCAGTTTGAGGAGCTTTTACAGGAACGTGATCAACTAAAACAGCAAGTTAAGAAGATGGAAGAGTGGAAGCAACAGGTCATGACAACTGTTCAGAACATGCAGCATGAATCAGCTCATCTCCAAGAGGAGCTACATAAGCTTCAAGCACAGATTTCAGTTGACAGTGATAGCAACTCTAAATTACAGCTAGATTATAATGGCTTAATTCAGAGTTATGAACAGAATGAGAGAAAACTGAAAAGTTTTAGTCAAGAGTTAGTACAAGTTCAGCATAGCATAGGACAGCTTCATAACACCAAGGACCTTCTTCTGGGAAAACTTGATATGGTAAAGCCACCATTGCAGATGGCCTCTTCTAGTGTTTTACAAGCTTCAGGTATTCCAAGTGGTACTCCTTCTGAAATACTCAGTGACCACTGTAAGCAACTTCAACAGGAATTGGAACAGGTGAAAAAAATAGTTCAAGAAAAAGATGCGACTATCAGAACTCTTCAGGAAAATAATCAAAGGCTGTCTGATTCCATGGCTGCAAAATCAGAGTTAGAAAGAAAGGGGCAAGAGGAGACTGATTCAGAGATGAAGCAGATAAGGGGAAAACATGATGTTTTGCAGAAGTCTCTTAAGGAAAAAGATCTCTTGATTAAATCTAAAAGTGATCAATTGCTTTCTGTAAGTGAAAATCTTAGTAACAAAGAAAATGAAAATGAACTTTTAAAACAAGCTGTAACTAATCTTAAAGAAAGAAATCTAATTTTAGAAATGGACATCCGTAAGTTGAAAGAAGAAAATGAAAAAATAGTTGAAAGGTGTAGAGAGAGAGAAACAGAATTCAGAGCATTACAAGAGACTAACATGCAGTTTTCAATGATGTTGAGGGAAAAAGAATTTGAATCCCACTCAATGAAAGAAAAAGCTCTTGCTTTTGAAAAGCTATTGAAAGAAAAAGAACAGGTACGTGGATAACATTTAATAATTTTGGTGGTAAAGAATTTTAAGGGGGAAATTACAGGTATTTATTTTTGATTTGGAAATTGTAATGGGACATTCCCTAGGGTTGTCATAGCACCCCCTTGGTGGCCACCTTACTCCTGTCCAGCCTTTGCTCTCACCTCTCAGGTTCTTCCCCTGGTATCTCACTTGCCACGCCTTGATGTTGTTAATGAAGAGTGGAGGCTGCACGTAGAAGCTGGTGAGCTCTAAGTGCTCTTGTTAGTTCCTTTTTGCTACTCTGTGGGGTCCCCTGGCCCGCTTGGCTTCGAATTCAGACCACAACACTTGAAGTCTCTCTCCCTTTTTTCTGTGGACTAACGCTGGGCCCCTCGAACCCCAAACCTTGTCCGGGTTTCAGCCTGTTCAGCCTTAACTCCTTTTTCCTCTAGCTGAGGCCCCTCAACCCAGGTCTACTGACTTTGGCCCTGGCTCTCCAGGCCTCAGCCTCCCTGCAGAGGGTGCCTGCCAGGTACCCACTTGTGGCTCCTCTGCCCCTACAGCCATTCCCAGGTCTCCGGGTGTCCAACAAACACAAACATACACTAGCACCACTGAAATATAAGCAGGCTGCTTCTACCAAGTTCGTCCCTGCTGTCCGATAGTTTTGCTTGTCTGCAGCCTGCAGGGCAGTTCCCCCCACAAACCTCTGCACCGATCTTCTTGAAACTTGACAGGCTTTGTGGCCTCAGTAAGAGCAATCACTCCTGCAGTTTTGACCCCCCTGTGTTGTCACACATAGACATGACAGGAGTTTTGCTTTCAAGAATTTGGGGTGCTGTTCCCCCCAAACCCCTGCACCGATCTTCTTGAAACTTGGCAGGCTTCATCCGCTCTGCAGAGTCTACCACCCCTGAAAATTTCATCCAAATCGGACAAAAAATAACCAAGTTATAGATATTTTATTGTTTCCCCATTATACCCTATGGATGGTATTAACATTTTTGTATTAATTCTTTTCATGCATGACGCAAGTACTTGTCTAAATGCTGGTTTAAATTTTCAATGGATCCTTTTCAATAGATACTATGAAATTGCCATGATTAAGAGCCTTAATCTCTTTAAAACACAGTTCTTTTGTGGAAAACAGGTCTATTAAATTCCACTGTGGTATTCTATTTTACTTTGTCATTTTGATAGCAAATCTGTTGTTGAAACAATAAATGGACAATAAAAATATTTGACAATAAAATGCATTCCATATGTTTAAGCGTAATATTATAATAAACACATACAGGTTACATGGGTGAAGACAAATGGTATGTAAATGTCTGTGCAGCTTACTGGTGTACAAAACTAGTGTAACTTGCATTGGTGTTTGCATAAAATAACCAGCTTTGCTAAAACAGCTGCCTGAGTAAGTGCTATTACTTTAAATTCCCACTGGGTGTCAGGGGAGCTGATAATAGTCTGAGCAAACACCTACCCCAGAATTAAATTTGACTAGAGCTGCAAATAAACAACATTTGTACATTGGTGTGACTTCATTTGATGTATAGTTATTTCTGTCTTTCCAAGCAGTAACTTTCCCCAGACTTTCTGCTGACTGTCTCTAGTATAGGCCTATATGTAATAAGCCTGTTCCTCATTTACACGAGTAAAATACAGGTTACATTGTTGTAAATGTGTTCAGTGTCTGTTGTGCAAAGGCCTTAAGACTAGATTTCCACAGGAGCCTCTGTTACCATTGTAATGTAGGCATGAGGCACCCGTGTCCTTATTATACCTTGACAGGTGTAGATATATTAATTCTATTAGGCTAGTGAGCATCACCCAGGCTAGGAAACCCACCAAAATGGCTATCTAGACTCCATCTTTAGGAACTGATATCTCTGTAAAGATCCACCAAGGAACTAGTTTAGACAGGCTCTCAGAGGTTTAGGGGATAAAGATGTTTCTTGATATTTAAGCCTTTTATCTAGCAACATGAAAGATTGGACCTTGAGGGTGCTGGCAGAGATGCATTTAATGGCAGGATGATCTGGTCCCTAATCCCAACAAGTCCCACACATGCATGGCAGGACACACAATTGTTGGGATAAGGGAACAGATCCCAATGTGCATGACTGCCGGTGCAGGGACCCTGGCATGGGGAACTAGTCCCCAATGCTGTGCTTCCCACAGTACCCTCTCAATTTGCCAGCATGCATGGAGCCTAGGGTCATGCTCCCCAGCTCTGCACACAATGGCAAGTTGACAGAGCCCACACTGCAGTCCTGCATAGGCCTCCCCTTTTTGCAGGTTTGCAATCACCAGTTAAGGGGGGAGTTGACTAGCTCCCCCCACCTGGCATCTGCAAACCTGTGTACCCACCACTACTGCAAGTGGGGCTTCACCAGTGGTTTTAAAGGACCTGCCACACCAGGATCTTGGGGGTGAGGAGCTTCTCCTCAGTCTGAGGCCCTACTACACTGGGACTTCTACAAACATATTAGAACAATATGCCAATAAAATCATTTCCAAATAGGCAAGAGGATATGCTTCATGAATAGATGGTCTGTTCATTTGTTTCACTGGTATATTCATTTCTCTTTCAGTTTATAAACACTTTGGGTAGAGACTGCCTTCTTTTCTGTGCCTTGCATGTTTGTGCAGAAATAAGTGATAAATAGTAACAGGCTCTTTTTGTACAAAGCATATATTTTTCATTATTTTTTAAATGCATATTTTCAACATTTGTTAATCATATATCCTCCTCCTCCAAAAGGGCAAGACAGGGGAGTTGAATCAGCTGTTAAATGAAGTGAAGTCAATGCAAGAGAATGCTGTTACTTTTCAACAAGAGAGAGACCAAGTCATGGTAGCACTCAAGCAGAAACAAATGGAGAACAGTGCCCTACAAAATGAGGTAGGACATTTAGCAGTTAACAAGCATAAAAGAGCATGAGTGGGGAAAAATACTATGCCAGAGTTAATTGATAAGGCAAAATAAAGTCTCTGTAAGTACAGAAGATATTTTAAAAATATATCCCTATGTATTACAATTTGTTAGGGAATCTTTTTTAGTGTGTATAACCTTGCACAAAGCTGTCATCCAACATAAAACGTATTCTAACTAGGTGCAGCATTTGCGTGAGAAGGAGCAACGTCTAAACCAGGAATTAGAGAGGTTGCGTAATCACCTTTTGGAAATGGAGGATTCTTACACACGGGAAGCTTTAGCTGCAGAGGACCGAGAGACCAAGCTGAGAAAGAAGGTGACTGTATTGGAGGAAAAACTAGTATCTTCTTCAACTGCGGTGGAAAATGCAAGGTAATGTTTCCCTCTCTCCAGCCATAACATGTGTTCTAATTATTACAGTATGCTAGAATGGAGGAGGAGGAGAGGTGGTGTACTCTGGGCTTCACAGTCAAAAGTCCTAGAAAACAAGATGAGTAAAATTATTCTAAATCAGAAGTATGTTCTGAAACTACCCAGTGCACCTCTGTTCTAGACCAGAAAGCAGGATATATCTTTAGGGGAGTAGTCATAGAAATAATGACGTTTGAGAGTGACTTAATTAAAAAAAAAAAAAAGTATCAAATGCAAACCAATCCATTAATTTAACAACGTACAAAGTAGCCGATGTGAAAGAGGCATTGGTACCCAATCTATTTTAAATGTACCTTCTTACCTAAATCCTCACAAGTTGACTTGCTGGCTTGTTTTCTATCTGATGTTTTCTAAAAATATTAGTAAAGTAAAAGCTGTGTTAACTGGCACTTTATAAGCCAGAAAACTCTATTAACCGGCATCCGAGCGATGCAGCAAAAGCGAAACCGGAAGTACCGCTTCCAGGGGACTTCCCATTTCGCTGCCACAAGCTGAGTTTTTCTTCGCCACTTTTTCAGCTCACAGCCCAGGGCAAAAGCAGCCTGCGCGGGAAAAAGCAGCCTGCGTGGGGCCCCCCTCCCTGTCCCCCAGCACACTGATGCTGGGGAGTGCACCAGACAGTGCACATTTGATTAACTGGAATATTTGATTAACTGGCATCCCCCATTCCTGGGGGATGCCGGATAACAGAGCTTTTACTGTATTAGTATCTTTACTTCCATACTTTTCAGTATCTTTACTTCATGTCCAAAAACATAAATATTTGTTTTTTGGCTGTAGAAATGCTTTCTGCACTAGGTTTGCCCTCCATAAAGTATCTGGGTAGCTGTGACATCAGCAGGATGTATTTGAGTCCTTGCAGGGAGAGGTGCTGGCAAGACAGAGGCGTTTTATTATCCTTATAATATCTGCCATAGTCTGCAAATGTAAGGGAATAGACTCAGTGTCTCAGCAGGCTCCTTTTATTCCTATCTTGTTCTTTTTCTAGTAGCATTTTAACAGGAAAAATATCATAACCAGACTATAAGTTTTAACATGATCCCATCATTTTCTTGAAACTCATGTTAATCTAATCCACTTTAAAGGAAGTCCATCTCTTTTTAATATGACCTCCCATCTAATTCAAATTGTCCAAATCACTCTGATCAGTATCATAGGTAATAAGAAACCAAAATGGAGCGTTGCCATTACTGAGGAATAGATCTTTTCTTCTTTTCTGTTAAGTTTCTAAACTCAGCAACTTTCTGGGGATGATGATTCTTGTATTTTAGTTTCATAAGGAAAAGAGGGAAGGCTCTGGCAAACTGTTAAGCTTAAAGTATGTTTAAATTAGAAACCTTTGTGGCATCTTTATAAACAAGGCTCCTGTATAATGCTTTGTTCTTATCTTAGTCTTGGCACAGAAACACATACTCTTTAAAAAAAAAAAAAAATTGTATGCTTATTTCATCAAAAACTTTTCAAAGTTTTATTACCATCTCTCTTTATTTCCCGTTTAAAGTTGTTTCAGCTTTTCATACCAATATAAATGGAAGTAACACAGTGACTCAGGTGATCCATAGTGAATTAGATGCATAATCTTCTGGTGAATATAAAAGAAGAATGTGTTATCAGTTGGAGACTGATTTAGAAACATAAGGAAAATCAGTGGAAGGCCCCTGCTGATTTCTGTGGGAGCTGAATTGGACCTTCAAAGAGACCAGAATGTCATTTCTTTGCAAACAGATTGAGTCATATGTACAAAAAGGAAAAAAAAAACAAAGGGAAAAAAACGTATTTTCTTTTGTCCAGGTGTTAAAATAGCTGATTTATTACAAATGGAAAGAGACAATACTTGTCCTAAAAGGTTGCATAGTGTACATAGTGAATGTTTCAGTATTGAACTATTGAATTTAGAATTGGACTTGTAACTTGAACTTAGAATTGGAGATAGTAGAGTTAAAAAATCTTGTTGAGAAGCCTGGTTTAAAAAAAAAAAAAAGACCTGCCAAGGTAACTTTTCTAAACTGTTTGATTTAATATGATTTTTTTGTTTTGCAGCCATCAGGCCAGTCTGCAGGTAGAATCCTTGCAAGAGCAGTTGAACTTGGTTTCTAAGCAGAGAGATGAAACTATGCTTCAGCTTACCATCTCACAGGACCAAGTGAAACAGTATGCAATGTCATTGGCCAACCTGCAGATGGTACTAGAGCAATTTCAACAAGGTAAGTTACATCATAACATTTGGGAAAAAAACTGTAACATTTTCAGTTTGTATGATTCTTGCAGATTGGTGAATTTTAAAAGCTGGTGGCCACTAATACACTTTCAGATAAGGTTTTAATTTTAATATCTTTCAGCTATGCAATATTTGGAGTGAAATTCTCACCTCTTCAAAATCAGTAACTCCATAATTTAACTCTGGGTTGCTGAAATCTGGATGCAATAACATTATGACTTGATTTCTCTAGATTGCCAAATCCAGAGGATTAGAATGGGTAAACTTAATCACATATATCATCTTTTTTTTTTTCCTTCAGAAGAGAAAGCTATGTATGCAGCAGAGCTAGACAAACACCAAAAACAAATCACAGAATGGAAAAGGAAAGCTGAAAGGCTAGAGGAGAAGGTTGAATCATTACAGGTAAACTGAATTAAGTTCTCTAAAGTTTTTTGTATTAATCCCAATTTGTCAGATTTAAAAATACAGTATATATTATTAAGTGGTATCGCTTGGGAATGTTTATAAGTCTTCATTAAAAACTTTTGTCTTATGGAAGTGTGGAGAAAGGGAAAATAGAATAGCCAAGTAGACTTGCTGTGTAGATCGCTGTTTTTCTTGGATATCTGCAGTTCAGATGTTTAAAATGTGATTTATTTAAATATTTTGAATCTGTTCACAAAAAAAATAGAACATACTGAATTATTGTAACAGTGACCTTCCTTACACGTTTTCTCTTCCTCTTTTACAGGAAAGCTTAGAGGAAGCAAATGCTGCCCTGGATGCAGCCTCACGGCTGACTGAGCAGCTGGATCTGAAAGAGGAGCAAATTGAGGAGCTTAAAAAAGAAGGTAACAAATTGATTTTTCCCTGAAGTCTTGCAAGAAATTGAGAAAGCAGTGGAAAATTTACAGAAGGCATAAACTACCAGATTTTCTCTTATAAAAGAGCAGATTCTGTGTAATTTGTGACAAGCTTGAATTTTTCAACATGGAAAAATTAAAGTTTATAGACTAGAGGTCCTGAATTGCAGGTCTCTTATCAGGAGATAAGATATTGTATTAATTTTTTTCCTACAATACTAGTCCTTAGTTAAATAAGCTTTTTAAAAACATGCTTGTGAAGTGCTCAGATAACAGTGATTGAGACTCATCTAAAAATAAATAGTTGTTATATGTTGGTATGCACACAAGCATGACTTTTCCTGAAACTTGGGGTTCTTTTCTTTAACATTCATTTTTTTTCTATTGTGTGTACTTTTGGGGGTTTTGTCCTCTGTGTTTCTATCCTGTTTTAAATATCTTCTTTTATTATAAATTTTATCCTAAATACTTAATAGAAAATAAATGGTTAAAGTAATAGCAGGAAGGGAGAGTAGTATAATTGGGAGGGAGATATTTAAATCTTCAGTTGGGAGGATGATGGGGCAAGGGGGAGTGGAAGAAGGGGAGGAGATGGTCTGGATGGCAGAAGCTAGCATCAGCAGCAGATGAGTTTGGCTGAAGGGGCATAGAGAAGACTAATAATAGACCAAGTTAAGAGCGGGGCCAGGAATAAATGTGTGAGATTTTTTGGCAACAATAAATCTTTGGGGGTATTTTAACAATTTTGTAGCAGTGAGGGCAAAAATTAATTTCTTTTAATACTTCCAGTTGGATTCTTTGATCTTTGTGGTAGTTAAAGGGGCAGATCACCCTCCTGCAGGTAATTCCCATCATGTTAGTAGCAGTTATATGTGTGCATTCTTTAATTAACTAAAGAGCTGTTAGCTGTATTATTTTAGATCTGATTTCACCTATTTTTAAATGGTAAGATTCCTAATGGCTCTGATTTTTAAGAAAGATGCTTTGCATTTTATTCTTAGATTAAGTACTCTAAAAACTGAAGAATGTTATTACACTGTACTTTATTTTGAAGACCAAACTTGGCCAGACAGTAAAGGAATTTGCCAAGAGAAATAGTTTTGAAAAAGATTTATGGTTTTGCTGTAGGACAGCACTTTAAACATGAATTGTATAAGGAAGTTGTGTGGGCTTTTCTTTGATAGTAAGGTAGAGATTAATGATTCATTGACAGAGTTTTAACATTAAAACCATGTAAGGGAACCTAACAAGACATGGTGACTGTTTAGTGAAAATTGACTCTATTTTCTCTTATCTTTAACAGCACAGTATATGTTGGTAGTGTCAATATAATTAGTTTATTATAATAGGAAAAAGTCTCAGGCGATTTTTTTTTTTTTTTTTTTTTTTTTAATATAAAATACATGGAACATTAAGGCCAGTCTGGGAGAATTTAGTATTTCTGAACTGCTACCCTGTGATTTATTTTCTTTTAATAGCTATGAAATTAACTTTGGATATGCTGGGTCAGACCCCGTTTCACATATTAGGTATCTAAGTGCACTTCTACTCCACCTTGTTGGAATCTCTGAAAAAACAGTAATGCAAGGGCTGAGTGAGTTTTGCTTCTCCCCTCCACTTGTGACTTAATCTTAAAGCTTGATGAAGAATTGTTATAACAAGTTGATATCTTAAGGGTTTTCCAGGGGCTCAGACTTGGGTGTCTGCGTGATACTTAAGTATCTAATACAGAGGTTTCAACCTTTTTAAACAAGTGTACCCCTTCTGGTGGCGTCAGGGGTGAGGGTGGGGAACATGCATGCAGCCTCTGCCACCCACCACCCTGCGCGCCACTTTCCCATGGCTTGTTGCACATGCAGTTCCACGGGCTGCTGACTGGCCTCGTACCTGGCCAATTGCGCGTCGTCCATCAGCAGCCCATGGAGCTGAATGTGTGACTGTCTGTGGGAAAGCAGTGCATGGAGGTGGTGTGGGATGGTGAATGGTGGTGGCAGCCACATGGGAGCTCCCTCCTGTGTCCCGCTGGCTGGGCGGCTCCTGTGTGGCTCACAGTGGTGCACCGCTGCCCTTGGGGGCCCCTGCCCTGCACCCCCGGTCCTACTCCTGGGAGGTGGCAGCACTGGGTGGTGGGTGGTGGCACTCTGTTCCTGCCCACCCACACGTACCTTCTAGAACATTTCCAAGTACCTCTATGGGTACACGTACCCCTGGTTGACAACCCTTGATCTAATAGATGCAATAGGATCTGGCCCGTTGTTATTTTTTTATTGAACTATTTTTAATTGTCATCTCAGAGGATTGATAGCACTATAAAAAGCCAGGCATTGTACCAATACTAGCTTTACTGTACAGGTCAGGGCTGAAACAATGGCAACTGTAGTTTTTCCTGCATTTATCATTTTCCTGTCTTGAACCAAGTCTGAAAGTGTACGTGGTGTCTAGATGTCTGTTGATTTAGTGATATGAGAGAGTACTGGTCACAAAGAGCAAGCTTTTAAAACTTTTTCAAGCATTAGACGATGTATGGTACTTGCTTTGACTAGGAGTGCACTGATAAAGATTTTTTTGGCTGATACCAGTGGCCAATTATTAACCAGCCATATCGGCCTGTACTGATTCAGTAGCTGCTAGGTGGTCCAGCAGCGTCTGGCCAATTTAAGTCTGTCGGGGAGGGAAGGGGTGTGGTGGGGCCTGAGTGAGGCCCCCACGGTGAGGGAGGGAGTAGGGCTGGGACAGGAGCAGGCAATACCTGCGTGGAGCTTGGGATGGACCCATGGGTGGCTTGTCTGGGTGGTAGGGAGCAGGGGCAGCTCCTGGCCTCTGTGCGCACCCCTAGGGGAGGCATGGGGCAAGTACCTCCCAGATTTGTGTGTGGAGCAAGGGCAGGTTGCCTGCTGTGGGCTCGGGGCCAGGGGCTACACTGGTCTCTTCCCAGGTTGGGGCTGGGCTAGGGTTGTGCTTGGGATGGGCGGTGGCAGCATTGTGAGGAGAGGTATGGCTAATTTTGGGGTGGCTGGAGCCCCCCCCCCCCAGGGGCCCAAGCCCCGCCACCATGCCTCCCCCTGGATGCATGCTGCAGCAGGAGCTGGAATGTTGCCCGGCAGCTTGGAGAGCAGCATCTGGCCAGTAGGTCTGTGGGGGAAAGGGGCGTGGGAGAGGGAAGGGGCTGGGGGGAGGCGGACCAAGGCCCCCATAGTGAGGGAGGGAGTGGGGCTGGGGCTGGCGCTGCTCAGCCGGGGTAGGACCTGTGGGCAGCTCAGTCCCCTCTCTTCCCTCCCCCACGCCCCTTTCCCCCACAGACCTACTGGCCAGACACTGCTCTCCAAGCTGCCAGGCTACATTCCTGGCCGTGTGCATGCTGTGGTTGCACACGTGCACGTGGCATTTATTAGTGACATTATAAGCTACACCGGCCAAAAAAAGCTGATTGCGGATCTTGTCAGCTTTTCTTTTATTGGTGCCAATCCAATATGGACCAATATATCGGTGCACCTCTAGTCTTGTCTTTCTCCCTGCCTTGCTTCTATCTCTTCAGAGGCTCCGGTACAGTGGTTCTCAACCTTTTAAGAGTCAGGCACCCTTGGATAGACGTGAGCCACCCCTTAGAAAAAGCCATCTCTTAATTTTCATTCTTTTAGAATACACAAGTCATAGAGCAGTTTTTCTGTTGCAGATAACTCCGACTCAGGGGGCATTTATACATGCGGTCCACAAATGGGTGGGGGTGGTTTGCTTTAATTAGAGTAGCTCTGAGAGCTGCTGTAACTAAAGCATCTAGAGCGTCATGTGCATCAGCACCCCTGCACTGAAAAATGGTGACAGGGACACTTTAACTAAAACTCATTGAACGAGCTTTAGTTTTAAAGCACCTTGTTGCCTTTTTTTTTTTTTTTTTTCTAGCAAGAAAAAGCTTAAGAACTCCTGAGCTAGACAATCCCCATATTTAATTAGTCCCTGAAGAGAACGGGAGATGATGAGAGGGCAGAGGTTTGCTTGCCTTCTGTAGTTACCAGCAATCCTACTGCTTGCTCATTTTCTTTGCCCTCAATGGGAGGAGGACCATTTTGCTTTAGGGATTTGCTAGGGGAAGGAGCCTCAAGGCTCTTACCTATACAGTCCTGTGATATGTTGATGTAATTATTTCTTTGTATTTTAAAAATCCTTCTCCTCTCCTCTGCACTAGGTGGGAATCATTCTTTTCACTAAAAACAAACTTTTTAAAAACAAGCAGATACAAAATTTGGGGTCAGAGAGGGGACTAGGTGTGTGAAGTAATTTGACAACCCTCAGCTATTTTAGTCAAAATTCTTCAGAGAAGCTGTGGCTTTTGCTACTTGACTGAATGTTTGCTTGAATTCCAGTTGTGTGTTTGCAACTTTTGGTCTCCCTTGAGCTAGGTCAGGGTGTTCCCCCAGTTCACAGACAATTTTTACAACCTCTTTAAATTAAATCTCAAGCTACTACGTGAACATGCAACCAGTTACCTCTTATTTTTGAGCAGAGCCATCTGTATAGCTTGATTTCTGTATACTCATTCCCAGTGAAACTTTCCAAGCACCAAGGGCCAAAATCAGCTATGGTGTAAGTAGACCCCCCCGATTGAGGGGGAAGCTGTACTCATGTCAGATGAATTTGATCCCATATCATTTTATTGGAGTAGAGCGTTGGTAGGTTTAAACTTGGTAAGGTTGGATCTTAGTATGTTTTTAAACTGTATTGTGATGCAAGTAATTTAATTTAAAAATTTGACACACAAAGGCAACTACATTTTAATTTCTTAGAATGTGATTATAACAAATTAAAGATTTGTTTTATTTGTAGAAATGGTACTCAGATTTCTACAATATTATTTACACAAGAAAACATATACACTGTCCCATTGAATATGGGCCAAATACATTCCCAGACACCAGTTTGTTGGCCAGGTTTTTGAAGGATTTCTTTATGGATTTTTTTGGCAGAAGCAATATTAATGGAAAAGTATAAGATGTGTACCAGATGCAGTTTTCTAAATTGCCATAAATGGTTAACAAATTATTGGAGACTGCTGTAAATGTCTGGTTTACAGCAATCCATGCTGATTTTTGGCTCGGGTCTCTTCTGTTATTTGCCCTTTTCATAGCCTCAAAGTAAATGATTGAAAACTTTTTCAACTATGAAATCGTGTTTTAGAAGAAAATTAAAATGTTTCTGAGATTTATGTTTTATAATCCGATCAATGTTGTTCACTTTTTCTAAATGAGTGTAGATGTGTAATAATCATTCAGTTGATCCTTTCTAAGCATATAATAAAAACTAGCAAATTGCCCATCAAGAATGACCGGGGCAGGGCAGGTGGGGACAGGCCTGCATCCTCCATCCCCACTCCCCCATCCCTTCCCGCTGCTTCAGGGCTGGGCCCGGGCCTGCTTTTCCCTCCTCCCTCCCCCGCTGCTTTGGGGACAGGCCCACTCCCCCCACCCCACTTCAGGTCCGGGGCCTCACCTCCACACCCCATCCAATCTGTTGCCGCTGCTGTCTCCAGGGAACAGGGCTGGGGTGGGCACGAGGCCGGTGCCACTGGCCTCACCCCCCCCACTCGATCACTACCACCTCCAGGGAGCAGGCCTGGAGGGGGACAGGACACAAGGCCAGTGCTGCTGGCCTCACTCCCTTGCTCCGTCCCCTCCATCCCTGCTGTCATGGCAGTGCTTCACCACCTGTCCAGAACACTGTTAGAGCACTCTGGTTGTTTCAGACAACCAATCAGAGTGCGAATAAAGTGTTACAGACAGACAGACAGATCAAGGCTTTTATAATATTAGAATGATTGTTTAGGGGATCATACCAGAGTATATTGGACACAGTACTCCACAGGTGCAGCCTCACCAATGCTGAATATAGGGGAATAATCACTTCCCTGGATCTGCTAGTAGCAATCCTACCAATACAGCCCAGTAGGCCATTAGACTTCTTGGCAACAAAGACACACTGTTGCTCATATTCAGCCTATTGTCCACTGTAATGCCCAAGTCTTTTTCTGCAGAGCTGCTGCTTAATTGATCAGTCACCAGGCTGTACTGCTACTTGGGATTATTCTGTCCAAAGTGCAGGACTTTGCACTTGTCGTTATGGAACTTCATGAGATTTCTTTTGGTCCTGTCCTCTAATTTGTCTAGATAACTCTGAATCCAGCCCTGCCCTCCAGTGTATCTACTATTACCCCCAGCTTGGTGTCACCTGCAAACTTGCTGAGGGTGCACCCCATCCCATCTTCCAGGATCGGGTGCCTGATCCAGCATGCAGGGCATCAGTCTAGAAATGTAACAGCACAGAAGCAATGCTACCGCTACCCAACTGCCAAGTTTCCAGACCTGTGGGGAGCCCTGCAGTCTGGATGACATGGCACCATGGGTCAGAACTGCTTTGCAGGCCCAAAAGGTTGAGCACCTTTGTTCTAAACTAACCTCTTACCCCTTTTCCACATTAGTGGAGTGTAAAATAGTTGTTACAGTTTGGGTAAGCACAAGTGTACACAGTGTCTGCTCTTCACTTTGTTGTGATGTCCAAGTTATGTTACTGCAATGCAATACCTCTTGAACTATGCCAAAGCATAGAGCCAGATTATGGGAAGTCTACCTAGTATATTTTTAAAGTCTTTCATAGATTCATAGATGTTAGGGTCGGAAGGGACCTCTATAGATCATCGAGTCCGACCCCCTTATCTAACCTCCTCTTGAAGACCCCCAGGGCAGGGGAGAGCACCACCTCCCTTGGGAGCCCGTTCCAGACCCTGGCCACTCGAACTGTGAAGAAGTTCTTCCTAATGTCCAATCTAAATCTGCTCTCTGCTAGCTTGTGGCCATTATTTCTTGTAACCCCCGGGGGTGCCTTGGTGAATAAATACTCACCAATTCCCTTCTGTGCCCCCGTGATGAACTTATAGGCAGCCACAAGGTCGCCTCTCAACCTTCTCTTGTGGAGGCTGAATAGATCCAGTTTCTCTAGTCTCTCCTCGTAGGGCTTGGTCTGCAGGCCCTTAACCATACGAGTGGCCCTTCTCTGAACCCTCTCCAGGTTATCCGCATCCCTCTTGAAGTGCAGCGCCCAGAATTGCACGCAGTACTCCAACTGCGGTCTGACCAGCGCGCGATAGAGGGGAAGTATCACCTCCTTGGACCTATTCGTCATGCATCTGCTGATGCACGATAAAGTGCCATTGGCTTTTCTGATGGCTT